TCGAAACCCGGTTTCTAGCGTTGTAATTCCGCAGACATGCCGCTGTGCTACATGGGGGGGGGGCAAAATTGTAAAGGGATACAGTAATATGTACTAAATATTCTCCATACAGTGAATTCAACTCAACATAGAGTTGAGCACGTTATGCTAAAATTATTTTTCATATGCAAATCAACAAGTCATCTGACAACCCTTGCCAAATATAAACTCACGGTGGAAAGGTATGTATTAAAACTACATTGACACAGCTTAACATTTCCTAAGTAAAGCGATGCTAATGAAAACTGATCGCTTTTGGAGCGCGTATGTAACAGCCTTTTCCGCTATAAAATACGCATACATTCATATTATAAGGTTTCTGTTTTTAATGCAACGCTACACAATGTGCTGCATCTGCAAGGAATCGAACCCTGGATATTAGCGTTACAAGTCCGTAAACTTACCGCCGACCCAATTGGAGGGACTAGATCAGAAATATGTATTCAGATCAGGGTTTTAGGATTTCCAAGACAAATATCCTTTGTACTTAATGGTATGGGAAAACGAAAATATATGGACCAACTTGGAATACCAAGTTCATTCAGAAATAAGCATGCAACAAGTCGTACCCCAACTGTGGTAAGAAAAATTCGACGTCTTGTAAGAGATGAGAATCTACGAACCTATACAGATATACTGTGCTAACAGATAGTTGAAATAGTTGCTGGGTAGCCTTTGTTCTCGTGCACCAAATGAATTATGGAAAGCCTGAAAGGAGGATTGATGTGCTTTAGACATCAGTTTTAGAACCGAGCCTTTTGTAATGGCATCTACGCTACAGAGTTATTATCAAAATGCTTGGTCGTCAGATAAAGCATAACTGGACGTGGGCGACAAACTGAAAGGCTTCAAAAGCGTTTTATTATAATGTACACAATCTCTGCAAACCAAACAAGTCAGCGTCCAACAATTTTAGTTTTGTAGAAGTCGAAAACACTCAAATTATTAAATGACGATAAAACAGCTGCATAATGTACACCTCCACCTCCACACAGTATAGAACGAAACAACCGAAATGGTGTGTATAAGTAAACACGTGCAGAATAAGCCATTAAGGTGACACCGAACACAACCGATTGTTCATCATCAGTATGATACAGGAAACCTTGTCTGTATGATCTAGAAATAGTATTTCTATGCACGTTAGGTTTAAAATAAAATTGGTCTTAAACATATTAGTGGATAAAAAGAACTAGCGGAACGTGAGATTATAATACGCTACTTACTGAAATCATAAATAATACTCAATGTTAAACTGGTACACAATTAAAAACATTTTATTTAGGCCTATCTATGGCCTTCAAAAAGTAGACGACTCTACATGTTTCGATGTTACTCCTCAGGATGACGTTGTAACATCGAAACATGTAGAGTCGTCAACTTTTTGAAGGCCATA